TATCCAAACATAGTAAGGGGTCTATGGTAGAACGGCCCTTACGAAAGCCATATTGACGAGTGGAAAGACTGTCGTGTGTCTCTAAATACCACATTAAACGTCTATTCACCAGACGTTCCATCACTTTGCAAACTGCACTGATAAGAGTGATGGGACGATAGTGGGAGGCTTCATGTCCCATAGTACCCAGTTTGCATAAAGGGAGAACAATGGCAGATTTCCACAGCTGTGGAAGAACTCCTTGTGACCAAATAAGATTGAAAAGGCGTAAGAGGACTGCAAGGGCTGACTGATGTAAATGTTGTAACATATGAATATGTATGTCATCGGGCCCAGCTGTCAATGATCGGCAAGCTGAGAGTTTTGCCTCCAGCTCCTGAAGTGTAAAAGGGACATTATACTGCTCTTCTCTGAGAGAAGAAAAGTCCAAGGGTGCTAACTCCCTGGCAGACTTTGAGGAAAGAAATGAAGGGCAGAGATGAAGCTCCAGAGAAATACGGTCCAGAAGATTGCCAATTTCAATGGCAACATCTAGAGGATTTGCTATATCAACACCGGCAACCCGCAGAACAGGAGCCGGGTCAGGAGAATATTTACCACTCAGTTTCTGTACTTTTTTCCAGACTCCACTCATAGAGGAAGCAGAGGTGATGGTGGAGACAATCTCGCCAGCAAGTGCGTTTAGCGTCACGGATGACACGGCGAGCGATCGCACACTTCTGCTTAAAATCAAGAAGGCTCTCAGCGGTTCTATTATACCAGTACCTGCCTCACACAGCACGTTTCAAATGTACTGCACGAGCACAAGCAGGAGACCACCAAGGCACGCATTTCTGAGAATGCCTGCCTGAGGTTTGGGGTATAGAATGAGAAGCTGCGGTTAAAACTGAGGACGAGAAGAGGTGTAAAAGCTCATCAATGGAGGATGAACAAGGAACCTCACTAAAAACAGTTAGTTGTGAGTAAAGGTCCCAATTTGCCTGATCAAATTGCCAGCGTGGGTTACGAAGAGGTGGTGAATATGAAGGGGAAGTAAGAATGATTGGAAAATGATTGCTGTCATGTAAATCCGGGAGAACAGACCAGGTGAAGTCTAGTGCAGCAGAGGAAGAGCAAACTGAGAGATCGATGCAAGAGAGAGTATGAGTACGAGGCTCAAACTGGGTGTGAGTACCTGTATTTAAAACATGGAGGGGGTGGGAAGCAAGAAAAGCCTCTAGCTGAATGCCATGGGAATCACAGTGAGACTCCCCCAGAGAAAATGATGGGCATTAAAATCGCCAAGTAACAGAAGTGGTGGCAGTAATGACGAAACAAGAAAGGCAATATCCGGAATAGATAATGCTCGAGAAGGAGAGAGGTACAAAGAACAGTGTGTATACCACCTATGCAGGTGGATATGGGCTGGTGTGTAATGAAGCGAAGTACGAACAAATAGCTGATGGTACAGAATATCAGTGCGTAGAAGAAGGGCACTTTCGCTAAAGGTTCCATCAGGAAAAGGATCCGAAGAATACAATAAATTATAGCCTGAGATGGGATAGATAACAGCAGAGTGTAACTTTGGTTCTTGTAAGCAAACACCAACAGGGAAAAATTGGGAGAGCAACGTCTGAAGCTCACCCCGATTACCCCTGAGGCCGCGTATATTCCAATGTAAATAGGCCATGATTGGCAACGATAAAGATACTAAAAATCAGCAGGTAAGGGTACTTACGGACTAGAGGGGTTAGAAAAGTCCACATGCGGTGGCAGCGGAAAACGTTCAAGCAGCGAAGGAACGGTGCGCTGTGAAGAAAGGAGTTGTGCAGATGGAGAAGAGGAAAGAGAAGGAACAGAGGGTGGATCAGTGTCCATTGATGGTTTGGTCTCTGCAATATATTCAGAGATTGCTTCAAGTGTTTCAGAGTTTAGAGACGTCATATGGGAGACAGTATTGGAGGTGGAAGGAGGAGTAGTTTGAGTAAAGATCGGAACTGTAATGGACTGTATCAAGGTAAGGGGGGGGCAAAAGGGTGGAGGGAACTGGGGAAGTGTGGGAAGGGACAGAAGAGGCAGAAACCTGGGAAGTTGCAGAAGAGGAAGAAACTTGGGAGGGGACAGGGGAGGAAGGCTGAACCTCCACACTTGTAACAGAGCCAGTGAAAGGGGAAGACCCAGGTACAGAGACCAGGAAGGTAAAGTGTGGAGGTGGATGAAGGGAAGGAGGGGTTAAAGGAGATTTTTTGGACTTCTGAGAAGTAGAGGGACGACTGGGAGGAGGTGTCATACGAGGTCTTGTCGATACCGGGGTTTGTGAGGGAGAACACAAAGTGAGAACAGACTGAGGTGTTAAAGTAGGGACGTCTGAGCCCAGGACAGCAAAAGAATTAGATACAGGAGTGATTATGGGACTGGCAACCACAGAGGAGACTGCAGAAGATGGGACCCCAAAAGTGGGGGGATTTTTGAAACACGAGAATAAGAAACATGGGGTAGTCTCCCTTGGAGGCGGAGATGAGAAACCGCCATAGCATAAGGGAGACCTTCTGTCTCTTTGAGGCAACGAATTTCCCGCTCATTCAAGTAGACCTGGCAATGGCGAGAGTACGAAGGGTGAGCCTCATGACAATTAAGCCAAGAGGGAGGGCGACTGCAAGACGTATTAGAATGGTCATCAGCGCCACAGACTGGGCATTTGGCTGTAGATCTGCAATATTTTGCTGGGTGGCCAAATTGCCAGCAATTTCTACACTGTTGCGGTGTAGGGATCACCTTTAACTTGTAACCGATGTCCTGCTACATAAACAGAGGATGGGAGTTCACGGCTGTCAAAAGTTAAATGAGCCACATTGCAAGGATATCGTCTCCGCCCGCGGGCAGGAAGAACATAAGTGTCTGCCTTGAGAATTGGGAGATCTTGGAGTTCCAGCTGTTCGAGAATGTCATTGCCACTTGTCTGGAAATTCTGTTGGACTATGGTATGGGGCAGAATGACAGTACCACTACAAGAATTGAGGGAATGATGTTTTTCGATAGTGATAGGAATAGTATCGATATGTGAAAGAAGAGAAAGATCATGAGCTTAGGTAGCATTCTGGACTGTGATGATATGCGTACCACTCTTACGAGCATGAAAGGAAATATCTCTACCAACATGACGTAGGAGCGCTTTGCCAGTACTATGGTCAGAAAGATAGGCAGTAGAAGAAGTCGGTCTTGAAGTAAAGAATTTAGTCCATTGTGTGGTCCGAAACTGAGTGTGGAGAGGGAGTGCATGACGTGTCGGTCTTTTAAGAGTAGAATGGGACGGTAACGAAGTAACGTCATCAGGAGATTGTCGTTGGCGTTTATAAGTGGGACCAGAGTTGGTCCGACGTGGGACGGGCTGGCGATTCAAAAATTGCCGCACCGTAGAGGGAGAGGCTGGAAGCATAGTCAAAGGAGAACTGAGGTCAGACAAATCGAAGTAGTCAGTCAAAACCCCGGCACCTGAAGTAGGTGACGAAACAGCACCAGGAAGAGGTACAGGGGTCTTAGGAGTGTCCGAAGAGTGGCCAAAAGACGAGGCGAGGTCAGAACAGGGTGCGGTAACAATAAGGGGCCCGGGGGTAGAGGGGTCATGGATTGGGGACTCCATGGTTAGGTTACTTCTTTCTTTTTGTTTTTAAGAAAAAAAAAGAAAGAAGAAAATAAAAATAAAAAAAAAAATAAAAAAATGGGAGACTGTGGAGGGATAGTTCCTAGGAGAAATGAAAGGGCCAGAAATCTCCCTCCGTGCCCAAGAGGACCTCAGCACCACAAGTAGCGCAGATGCAGCATGGAACCCATGCCATACCCTACCCTTCATGCCAGTAAACCAGCAATCCGGGATAGCAACCTCACATCTGCCGAGCTACCTCGGTGGACAAAAGAGAGGGCGGCCAGATATCCGCCACATAGCATATCTCCTTCGGCCACCACCCCCGGAATCCGAAAGGTGGCTTCCAGAGATACACCCGCCGCCCGAAAGACACCCAAAGCCACCCTCCGGGATACCGGAGAGGGAGCGGGACATCCCCAGGCGATCCAGATTCCATGGCAAGCTATGCCACCGCCAAGAACCTCAACGGAATGGGATGGACCCCGGTACCCTTTCCCCTACCTAGGAACTAGTGCGCTTGTGGGAAAAATCCCAAAGGCCAAAAAAGGAAGGGCAAAAGGGAGGGGAGGGAGGAGGAGGAAAGGAAAAAGGGGAGGATGGGATAGGGAAGGGAGGATTAGGGGGTAATTAGGTTTGGTCTGAGGGAGACCGACAGGTCTAATTCCTCAGACCAAGAGCCTCTTCACCATGCCAAGGAGCCCCCCCTTGAAGAGGCTCTGCCATTGTAAACTTGCCACATCTTTCCCCTCTTAAACATTCCAGTTAGTTTTCTTCTTTGGCTCTGACATCCTACTAACTCTTAACAAAACTACTGTAATTTTTTTGTCCTGAAAAATTACTTTATTATATTTGTGGGGGAAGCACTAAAACCAGAGAGATCATACAGCACCAACAGAATGGGAGGCAATTAGCTTTAGTCCGAAGGGAAGAGTAGCTCCAATTCCTTGAATCAAGAGTCCTTTACCAAAATCAAGGCAGTTTCATCAAAGGATAAACTTTTTGTAAATTACATATCAAAATGTCTACAACTGTAAATGACCTTGCAAAAAAAAAAAAAAAAAAAAAAAAAGTTGTTTGTTTCTATCATACTGGGACCTCAGCTTTTTGATAGTGATTCATGGGATGAAAGATATAAAAGATTGAGAACCAATGACCTAGGGTACACCAAACATATATATATATATGCTGTCGTATGTACATGCAATTAAACATGAGTAAGTCTGTGGTAGACATGTGAAAATATGCAACATCCAATAGGATTTCAACCCTCTAATGGTGTGCTATACTTTATATCAAACAAAATGAATTTAATTTTACTCAGAAATTTCATGCCTTATAAAAATATGCTTATTTTACACATTTTTTATTGAAAACAAAATTCTTTTTAAATGTTTATTCCTTTTAATGTAAAAATAACATCTACACTTTGGTTTAAGTGCTCTAAAATTCATATCTGGCACAGATATTTAAATTTACTTGAATGACTAATTTAGAACCCTGCATAACACAGTCCTCCACTAAAATATGTTAGTCAAATATTTTTGATAAATAAGTTTTTTAATAATTTAAACATCATACTAATTTTTTAAAATTTACTTACAAACCAACTTGTTACAGCACAATAAGATCTATGGTCGTTTAGCAAAAAAATATTGAAAGAAGGGTACAATTATAAAGGCTCACTAATAAATATAAAATCAAGATATCTTATATCAAATCCATTTACAGTGAAAAATATTCTTACCTGCTGTCTGACAACCCTACAGTTAAAAGGGATACACACCATCACTAAGTCAAACTGCCTACATTTAGGCAAAAGTTATATTCACATAATATGAAACTATTCAATACTGAAATTACTTAAACTACTGAATGTAAATGAAAATGAACATGCCAGGTAAAATGTTACTTCACTTTGTCAATGCCTAAAACAGTGACTTTTTTAATTAAAGTCCAGAACATGAGATCTTGCCATATGTATTGCCATGCCCAAAAAAATATTGTATATTTAACAAATATTGAGACAATATGCAATTTAAACTATGTTTTGTAAAGAAGAGAAAATATAGAAACTACCAATGAAAAAATAAATTACAGTAAAAGGTAATTCTTAAATCGCAATATAGCTATACAATTTTGTTTAAAGAATCTTACCTCATAAAAACAAAGCCCCCACAAAAACATAGCATTAAGGCTAAATTTAGCACTAAGCTTTTTTACAGCAAGATGTATTATAACAATACAAGACAGGTTAACCAGTTACCATTCTCTCTTCAGTAAAGCGTTCATTAAGGGAACGTGTAGTTTGGCTAGGGATGTGTCTGAACCCTTTCACTCCTGGACCTGGACCATTATTTAATGATATTTCATCTTTGCCCTGCAACATTGCTATTTCTTTTTGTACTTTAGGATCCAGTATTTGCCGATGGGGTTCAGGTACCGAACGTATATTTTCTGGGGGTAAATTCAACACTGGCGCTGCCATCCTTGCTCTTGGATCCCTGTTTGAGATAATATTACGTTTGGTTAATTTTCTGGGACGCTCTTGAGATATTTGAAATGGAGGCTCTGGAGGATAGGCATGATCATTTACAACTGTAAATGTTGCTGGACCATAACTCCTGGCTTTAATTTGGTTCATTCTGTTTCTGTTGAGACGTGGTCTATTTCTAGGAATAGTGCCTGAAAAAGAATGCAGAAGTAACTAATTAATCTCACATAAACTCAAGATCTATTAGAAGCCTTATCTAGGCTCTTATACAGCTATTACCTAATTCCCACTCCACAATATATTAAATCCCAGACCCCTCTCCTCCACTCTGGTTTAACCTACACACTCCACCAGAATATCAAATACCACAGACTGCTCACCTCTACTCATCTAACCTTGAAATTCACGGTAAGGTCAAATTATTATTATTAGTCATGAAGAAGCACAAAATTTGTAAAGGTCAAGGCCTGGGAATGACAGGCAGTGAAATGTGATTCAAGAAGGGCAATGTGATTATGGTCAAAGACTGATTAAAAGGAAAACTAATACAGCATAAGCAAAATGGTTAGAGTAATGCTGGGTACCCAGTCTACAGACTACCCACAGGTTCTTATGATAATGTGGATGAGACTTAAGATAACAGTGAGTCAAACAGGATAAAACAGCTTCTATATGGAATAGGATAGCCACATCAATTTTGCTTCTATATGTGAGAATGATGACATAGCATGTAGATCTTTAACTAAACCTCAAAGTATCTAAGGATCTTATACAGAACTAGGAAATAAACTAAAATGCACAAATTAGTGTATCAATGCAGTTATGGCTCTAAATTTAGATGCCAAAACTAAGTGTTAATATGTTGAAAAGTAGGTTATTTTTTCTGTAAAGACACTTTTTTAGTTTGATTAAGCAATGAATACACATTTTTTGCAGTGTGACAAAGCACTGAATACACATTTTTTTGATAAGCTAAATTTTAATATACTGCACACAATATAGTAATACATATATATCGTAACATAAACTGAGAGCTCTAAACCAAAGATTTTGGAAGTCAAAGGTGACAATTGTTAAAAAAATATGGATGCTCATTAACATTTTAGATTTTGTCTTCAAATTAATTTTGGTACAGAATCAACACGTGCATTAACCCTTTGACTGTCGCAACCCCAAATCCTGAAGTGTCTCCTGGTGTCGCAAAATTTTTTTGAAAAAAAAAAAAAAAAAAAAAAAAAACTCTTATGAAATGATAGAAAATCTTTTCCCGATGGCAATGACACCAAAAGTACGAAATTTTATAAAAACTTACAGAATTACGCTCCTGTGAAGTTAGCGTTCTCGGCGATATATACGCATCGGCAATTTCGCTGAATTTGAGCCCTATTTTTGGCCAATTCCATTGCTCCAGTCGACCAAACTCATAGCAATTTCTTTAGAACTCCATTTTTTCTATCAATTGAGTACAAGAAACTGTCCATTTACCGATTTCAACTACCCAATAAAATAGTCAGAAATTGGCAATTTGGCCAATTTCACACAAAATAAAAAAGATGCCAATTTCAAAATAGGGTCCAGAATAAACAGTGTAGACATTCTTGGCACTAAAATAACATATCCTCTGTTCATTTGTCACATCTTCAGGCCCCTCTTATATTACTCTTGCTTTCTATTTTGACTTTTGATTCATACAAAAAATAGAAGATTTACTTTTATGCAGACTACTGCATTATTGTAAAAATGGCATAAATAATATTAGTACAACAGTGAAAGAATGTTAGACTCCCCAGCTGACGTGTATTGGACATGTGGTGTGATTTGCTTACTCTTGAACATTGGTAAAAATCGAACATTTCCGCTACTTTGAGCTCAATTTCAAGGTCGTTTTCATCATGAAACTAATCAAAATCATCTCTATTTCTGTAATATATTTTCCATTCTATCAAATAAGACCAAGAAAACGAGAATACAACCATACATACTATATGAAAATACACCTACCACCCGACTTACGACCGAGTTTGGTTCCGAGAAACCGGTCGTAAGTTGAAATGGACCTAAGTCGAACTTTACTACTGAATATCAACATAACATTTTTGTAATGACTTTATTTTATTGTTTTATTTTGGTATTTCATGTTTTACTTTACTTTTTATGCTGCTAGTACTGTATTTTATACTGTAAGGTTTAGGATAAACACTGTGTACAACACAAACACTTGTTTATTTCCCAGAAATTTGACATGAAAAAACACCCTCGTAAGTCGAGTCGTCGTATGTCGAGCAGGTCGTAAGTCGGATGGTAGGTGTACACCTCAAAGTCGGCGTTTTAATCCAAAAACACGGTCGTAATTTTTTTTTTTCTCATTATGCACTGTGTGCTGCAGAATTTTTTTATACTGTGCACACTGACCACACAGACCCATTCTCTCACATGTGGGCCTACCAGCTTTCTCCTGCTCGATTTGAAGCAAATAGAATTATTGAGTATATATACGTCCGAAACACTGGCTCGTAAGACGTATATATACGGCCAAAACAGTCAAAGGGTTAATGTATGTGTTAACTTTTTGTGCTCTAATATAATCAGACTTGTTTTTTGCCCTTTCACTATCCCCTCCCCCCCCCAAAAAATAAAATACTCTATGTTTTGTGTTGCTTAAACACATAATTACCTTCAATTCAAACATCTACTGTAATTGTCAACAGTGAGGTTTGAGAAAATACAAAAGCCAGAACAAAAAGTCAAATATTACATACCATTGTGCTGTGAATGATGTGAAGCAATGTTGTTTTTTATACTAACAGTCAATCCTCGTTGATATGAGAGAGACACTACCGAGCTCGACCCTCTCTGTGTCTCTCCAGTTCCAGTTGTCTGAAGAGGACAAGTTCATGAAAAAGAATTGTATTCCTGTATCAAACTCTCCAAGGTAAACAAATATGAGGCATGCAGAGGTAGCCAATCAGTAAAATAAAAGTACCAGTATCAGTGCAAATAAATTTTCCTTAAAGGAGTTTGTGTGTAGATTACAAGTACCTATGACTTATGACCTGCAAGGCCTATGACCAGCTGACTGACTGTAATTTGAAACTCTTTGAAAATAAATGCAATGGACATCACTGCACCAGTAAAATTTTATTTATATATAAATGAGAACTGTTTTCTACAAGTGCTTGGGTACCTTTTGACAATGAATAATTAATAATTTTTTCAATCTGTTCTAAAAATTAGTAGCGTTCTCATCCAAAAACTCTAACGGATAAATTGTTTGCTTTAAGATTTGGACCTGCTTATTCATAATTACTATTTCAATTCAAGCCAGAGTTGGTAGACAAATTTAGGATGGTATGTAAAAGTAGGAAGGTGATATGGGTAACAACAAATCAAGGTAATGATAAGTTGAATGTTAAATTGGAGGGAGAGAGTATGGAGTAAGGGGATGTATGATTTATGAAAGAGGTGAAATACAATAAATGAGAAAAAAAGGTTAGGCAGTGTGTTAAAGTATCTGTGAAAAAGTTTATTATGGAGGCAACAAAAAAGGGTAATGTATCCAAATATAGTGATAGAGTACCAACACTTTTGTATGGGTGTAAGGTATGGGCTTAGAATGCTGCATCAAAGAAGCTAGAAGCAGTAAAGATGTCATGTTTGAGAGCAATGTGTGTTGCAGATTTAATGGAGATGGCTCAGTGTAGGAATTAAATAAGACAGCATAGTGTCATCAAAGGTATAATTGAAGAGGGCTGAGGAGGGGCTATTGAGGTGGTTTGAACATTTAGAGAGGATAGGATGACAAACAGGGAGGATTAATCTAAGGTACCTATGTAGTAGGTTGGTAAACAGCAACCGCCCAAGGAGGTACTACCGTCCTGCCAATGAGTGTAATATGAAAGCCTGTACTTGTTTTACATGATGGTAGGGTTGCTGGTGTCTTTTCTCTGTCTCATAAACATGCAAGATTTCAGGTACATCTTGCTACTTCTACTTACACTTAGGTCACACTACTCATACATGTACAAGCATTCATGTATATATACACACCCCTCTGGGTTTTCTTCTATTTCCTTATTACTTCTTGTTCTTGTCCTCTTCTCTCCATGGGGAAGTGGAACAGAATTCTTCCTCCATAAACCATGTATGTTGTAAGAGGCGACTAAAATGCTGGGAGCAAGAGGCTAGTAACCCCTTCTCCTATATTAGTTACTAAATTTAAAAAGAGAAACTTTTGTTTTTCTTTTTGGGCCACCCTGCCTCAGTGGGATACGGCCAGTTTGTTGAAAGAAGAAGAAAGGATGACAAATACAGAGGATAAATCTAGGGTACCCAGGCAGTAGGTTGGTAGACAGCAACCACCCAAGGAGGTACTACCATCCTGCCAATGAGTGTAATATGGAAGCCTGTAATTGTTTTACATGATGGTAGGATTGCTGGTGTCTCTTTTCTGTCTATAACTATGCAAGATTTCAGCTATGTCTTGCTACTTCTATTTACACCTAGGTCACACTACACATGCATGTACAAGCATATATATACACACCCCTCTAGGTTTTCTTCTATTTCCTTACTAGTTCTTGTTCTTTATTTTCTCCTATCTCCATGGGGAAGTGAAACAGAATTCTTCCTCCATAAGCCATGCATGTTGTAAGAGGCAACTAACATACCTGAAGCAAGGGGCTAGTAACCCCTTCTCCTGTATACATTACTGAAGTTATAAAGAGAAACTTTTGGTTTTCTTTTTGGGCCACCCTGTTTCAGTGGGACACAGCTAGTTTGCTGAAATAAGAAGAAATCAAGGGTAAAGGTAAAAGGGGTAGGGGGTTGACCCAGGAACTGTTGGAGGGAGGAAGTAAAGGAGGCTTCGAGTTTTAGGAGCATGAAAATCCAGCTGGTTTGTTAGAGTGAATGGAAACAAGCAGCTTTTAATAGTTATGCTGTTGGAGTGCAATCAAGGTAATATGTATGTAAGGATTCAGTAAAATTAGTTAGCTGGACTCAAGTCCTGGAGATGATTCTCACTTCCAGGGCAATGCCTGTACCCTGAATGAGGAGTGGGGATGTTGCAGTTGGAAGGAAATCTGAAGTGTGATGTCAGCACATGTCAAGCAAAACAGAAATTAAATGAATGAAGGCAAATGTATTTCCTTCTTTGGGTCACTCAGTGTTGGCAGGAGACAGCTGTTGAGGCTCTTAAAAAAAAAAGTTACCAAAGTATGTTCCTTTCAAGAGGGTGCAATGATAAAATGCTCTTGATTCCAGGAATCAGGGCTACCCTTCTCTTTGTTGGGTCAAATCTCATTATCTAGATTCTCCAAGCAAAGGGTTAGGAGTTTCCCTATGACTATAATAAAAATTATGTGCAGTAAAAGCAAAGTTATCTGAATTATAGCATATTAAACTTGATAGGGTATTAGCAAATTTTTTTTTAACACATCGTGTTTCCCAAGGTAGGGTGATCCAAAAAAGAAGAAACACACTCATCACCACTCACACCATCACTGTCTTGCCAGAGGCATGCAGATACTACAGTTCAAAAACTGTAACATACCTCCACCCCTCCTTCAGAGTGCAGCTGCTATATTTCCACCTCCACCTCAGCTTCCCTGAATCCCTTCATAAACATACATTACCTTGCTAAAACTAACAGCGTGTAAAGCAACGAAAACCACTCATCCCCACTGAATTCAATCCAACCCTCAAGCCTGCTTGATGCTCATGTAAGCATATTAGATTAGAGAGAGTGGAGACTAATGTTTTTTGCGGTTTGACATGCTATTGGAGTGTAAGTCAGTAATGTAAAAAGAAATATGATGAAATGAAGCAATCTTTAAACATGTAAAAGAATACTTTACTAACTTTTTCTGCATATGTTTCTGTACTGTTCAATCTTGAATCTGAGTGAGTGTTATAGTTGTGCTTCATCTTGTGAAGTAGAAGTTGGTCCGAGCGTAGTCCCCTAACAATAGTTCCACTGCCCACACGCACTCTAAGTGGTGTTCCTAAATTGCCCTTGGTCTGCTGGGAAAGAGTCAAAAGAAACCATAACAGTCCAAAAAATATTTTTGTATACATAATGTAAGGCATGAAAATTTAGAAAATTTACTTGAAAAATAATTATAAACAAGGATCTAATAATAATTTTACAAGTCTGATGCTGGATAATAGGCAAATTATTGACCAACAATCAGTACACTGTTTATCTGATTGTTTTATTTGACTACATGAACAAAGCAGTGCCACTTAGAAGTCTGTTCCATTTTTGTAACCCCTACATGTTATAAACAGCTTCCTATTCTCTTCTTTTTCCTCATATTCAACCTTCTCATTAGTCAATCCTCATTCTTTCTTACTGGTACAAGCAAGTGGTGCCTGCTTCACTTATATAACAGCCCAATTTTATAAATATTCAGATTAGATACAACTTTATTTTATTCATTAGTTCTATAAGTAGCATAAAAAAATAGCAATGGTGCCAGCTCATTCTTCTCAAACTAACCTTCATTCCTCCTGCAATACCTCTTCGTTCATCAATAATATTGTGCCTTGCCTGATTCCTGTTATTCTGTTGTGACGTTGCTAATGTCCTGCGTGCTTGTTGAATTTTTCTCCTTGCAAGTTGTTGGTTGAATTGTTGATCGTTACCCATTACCTGTTGGTAGGTTTCCTGTTGCCAAAGTGTAAATAAATTATGAAAACATTTTTAAGAAATTGCAGTATATGGTTGGAAAATCTTATGACTTACCAACTTCCAAGATTTCATTCACCCAAATTTAGGATGAAGAAAACCTCATAATATTTTGTAATACTATGAGAAACTACCTGGAAATAGTCTTGAACTCTTATATCAAGTAAGCCCATATCAAGGCAACAAAACTGTGTTTGGTTTGCACTGAACCAATTGATAATGGAGCTGACAAGAAGATATTTTAAGTGTCATACTCCTGATCTGATCTTCATGAACAATGAAAAACTAATCAGAACAATCACTATTTTAAATACACGCTTATATCACAACCTCACTGGCGTACAATACAATTCACTCAACAAATAACCTGCTCATAGGAGAGTGAACATAATGGTAACATTTCCCCCTGGGTTTCTGTCCTACCCTCATGGGCCATTACCTCTCCTGCAGTGCTTTTTCTTTTTATCTCATTCTTAAACTAACTCTACTAATACTGCTTCACTAACACTCCACTCTCTGACTCTTTGTGTTACTATCACTACTCCCTTCGTATTGCCACCTCTGCCACTGTTACACTACTAATACTACTACTACTACCACTTCCTCTTTCACTACTACTACAGTTATACTACTACCTCCTTTCATTCTACTATTCCCAGCCCTGCCCCTTTCTCATATATACTGGCATCCTTCCCTTCACACTTCTATATAACTAGTTAATGGTCCAAGTTGGACTGAAATATCGTCATAAATTTCATTCTCCTCTATGTGCAGGTTATTTGTGTATTGTTCCAGTCACAGTAGTGTGCCTTTCTATTCTTTACAACACAAATTATGTAACTAAATTAGCATGAATTAAAAAGAAAGTCATAACTATATAGTCCCTGTAATTTAAGCATTTATCTCTGAATTTCAATGAAATACATCACTGTATGTATGGAGGCAAAGAAGAGAATGTATGAAAGTATAGTGGTACCAAAACTCTTATATGGGTGTGAAGCGTGCATTGTAAATGCTGCAGTGGGGAGGCAGCTGGAGGTAGTGGAGATGTCCTGTCTAAGGGCAACGTGTGGTGTAAATATTATGCAGAGAATTCTGTGTGTGGAAATTAGGTGGTGTGGAGTTAATCAAAATATTAGTCAGAGGGCTGAAGAGGGGTTGTTGAGGTGGTTTGGTCATTTAGAGAGAATGGATCAAAGTAGAATGACATGGAGAGCGTATAAGTCTATAGAGGAAGGAAGGCGGGGTAGGGGTCGTCCTCAAAAAGGTTGGAGGATGGGGGTAAAGGAGGTTTTGTGGGCGAGGGGCTTGGGCTTCCAGCAAGTGTGCATGAGCGTGTTAGATAGGAGTGACTGGAGACGAATGGTTTTTGGGACCTGATGAGCTGTTGGCATGTGAGCAGGGTAATATTTAGTAATATTCCGGGAAACCGGTTATTTTTATATAGCCGACTTAAGTACTGGAAATGGAAAGTACAATGCCTGCACTTTAAGCAAGATGTTTGGGATATTGGCAGTTTGGAGGGATATGTTATATCTTTCTTTCAACACACCAGCCGTATCCTACCAAGGCGGGGTGGCCCAAAAGGAAAAACAAAAGTTTCTCTTTTTAACTTTAGTAACGTATACAGGAGTAGGGGTTACTAACCCCTTGCTTCTGGCATTTTAGTCACCTCTTAGGACATGCATGACATACAGAGGAAGAATTCTGTTCCACTTCCCCATGGAGATAAGAGGAAATAAACAAGAACAAGAACTAGTATTAAATAGAAGAAAACCCAGAGGGGTGTGTATATACATGTACAGTATATGCTTGTACAGTAGTAGGTTGGTAGACAGCAACCACCCAAGGAGGTACTACCGTCCTGCCAAGTGAGTGTAAAACGAAAGCTTGTAATTGTTTTACATGATGGTAGGATTGCTGGTGTCTTTTGTCTGTCTCATAAATATACATGTACAAGATTATAGGTATGTCCTGTTACTTCTACTTACACTTAGGTCACACTACACATACATGTACACGTTTATTTATACAAGCTCATCTGAGTTTTCTTTGACTTTGTCTTAATGGTTCTTGTTCTTATTACTTTTCCTTTTATATCCATGGGGAAGTGGAATAAAAATCTTTCCTCCGTAAGCCATGTGTGTTGTAAAAGTCAACTAAAATGCCGGGAACAATGGGCTAATAACCCCTTTTCCTGTAATAGTTACTAAAAAGAATAAGAAGAAAACTGTCAAAGTGGGATGTCTGAATGTGCGTGGATGTTGTGCGAATGATAAGAAAGAGATGATTGTGGATGTTATGAATGAGAAGAAGCTGGATGTCCTGGCTTTAAGTGAAACAAAGCTGAAGGGGGTGGGAGAGTTTCAGTGGAGAGGAATAAATGGGATTAGATCAGGGGTTTCAAATAGTTAGGGCTAAAGAAGGAGTAGCAATAATGTTGAAGGATACGCTATGACAAGAAAAGAGGGACTATAAATGTATTAATTCAAGGATTATGTGGAGTAAAATAAAGGTTAGATGTGAAAAGTGAGCTATTGTAAGCGTATATGCACCTGGAGAAGAGGGAAGTGTAGAGGAGAGAGAGAGATTTTGGGAAATGTTGAGCGAATGCATGTTAAGTTTTGAACCAAGCGTGAGAGTACTTGTGGTTGGGGATTTCAATGCTAAAGTGGGTAAAAATGTTGTGGAGGGAATAGTAGGTAAATTTGGGGTGCCAGGGGTAAATGAAAATGGGAAGCCTTTAATTGAGCTATGTGTAGAAAGAGGTTTGGTAATAAGGCTGAAGAGGGGTTGTTGAGGTGGAGAGCATATAAATCTGTAGGGGAAGGAAGGTGGGGTAGGGGTTGTCCTCGAAAAGGTTGGAGGGAGGGGATAAAGGAGGTTTTGTGGGCGAAGGGCTTGGACTTCCAGCAAGCGTGCGTAAGTGTGTTGGACAGGAGTGAATGGAGACGAATGGTATTTGGGACCTGACGAGCTGTTGGAGTGTGAGCAGGGTGATATTTAGTGAAGGGATTCAGGGAAGCCGGTTATTTTTATATAGCCGGACTTAAGTCCTGGAAATGGGAAGCACAATGCCTGCACTTTAAAGGAGGGGTTTGGGATATTGGCAGTTTGGAAGGATATGTTGTGCATCTTTATACGTATATGCTGAGCGCCTCTGCAAAAACAGTGATTATGTGTGAGTGAGGTGAAAGTGTTGAATGATGATGAAAGTATTTTCTTTTTGGGGATTTTCTTTCTTTTTTGGGTCACCCTGCCTCGGTGGGAGACGGCCGACTTGTTGAAAAAAAAAAAAAATGCTTGTACAGGTCGGCCATCACTAATCCTGCATCCTGTAGTGGGCCGGATTATTGAGTTTGCCAAATTACAGAATGGCTGGGTTAGAATACACTTAATGAACCTATCAACAGAGACTTTCTGCTACATCTTCCTCATTGTCATCACTGCTTTCTCCTCCAATGGCTTGCTGCTGTGGATTTACAACCATCTGCACAATTTCTGAGTCAGTATAATGATGAAATTTGAAATTATGCTAGCCAAAATTAGTGCCGGATTACTGATGGAACCGGATAACTGATTGCTGGATTAGTGTTGACCAACTGTACATGTATGTGTAGTGTGACCTAAGTGTAAGTAGAAGTAGCAAGACATACCTGAAATCTTCCATGTTTAAGAGACAGAAAAAAGACACCAGCAATCCTACCATCATGTAAAACAATTACAGGCTTTCGTTTTACACTCACTTGGCAGGACGGTAGTACCTCCCTGGGTGGTTGCTGTCTACCAAGGATTCTGAAGTCTTAATCACACACAAAAAAAAAAAAATTATTCTTTCTCAGATAATAAAATATAACAAGGAATGATTGGTCATGGTTTATAATTGAATCAGACTTATTAAAAACCCATAAAGCAGATAGGATGGGAGGGAAGGGGGAGCCTTACCTATCCTCAAGAATATCAGCAAAAATCAAACATTTCTACTACTTTGAGCTCAATTTCAAGATACTTCCAGTCCCAGAAGAAATCTATATCTTTCTATTTCAGTAGTATGTCTTCCATTCTATCAACTGATACCAAGAAATGTCATGTGGGTTTCGATAACATGGATGGGGTAAAGATACTCACATAGGCTGGTTTGTACGTATAATATATAACGGGAAGTATGGGAAAGCACCAACAGCCGACCTGCCTCTCTCTGCTCCCTATCTTAGACTGACTCACAAGTGCCTACAGGGTGAGGGGTGTTTGAAATCCTGCTATGGTCAGCAGCAATATGAATAACAGTCAGTGAGCCACACAGACGGTTGGTAGTGAGTCATCTACTGGTACACTGGTTACTGGTAACTGGTTACTAGGAACTGGTACTACTACTGAGAGCTCGGCAATGCTAACGTATGTCGTCCCGACATACAGCTAATACAACTAGAGACGGCAGGTGTACGGCTTGGGCTGATTCTATACAATGTCAAAGTACACAACAATTGAACATTATAACATACATAAGTAGAATATTGGAATGGAAGCTTACGTAATTGAAACTGTAATAAAACTGTAACGCATTACAAGGTATGATATAGCACAACTCATCAAATGAAACTCAACGTTGGGATTACACAATAGAAGTGATAAAAAAAATTTGATCGATCGATCTGTATTCATGTGATCTACGGATTCTGAGGAAGGAATATATACAAAGAAAGAAGTGTTTAACAGAAAGGCAGATTCGGTGCACTCAAATCTAGACTGTTAACTCTCAGAATTCGGAGAGAACGTGAACACAAAAAAAATTTCTTGAATACTGATAAGTTGATACTGTAATTATTCATCTATACAGGTTATTTACATTTAACCCCAACCCTGCTAGGGTGAGATTGACATATGCAGAATGGGTGTCATCTCTGGAAGGATCAAACTCTGTTGCACTGGCTAACTCATGCTGTATTTGAGGTAAATCTGAATTGGTAGTTACAAATGATACTTGAGGATTTCTCAATACCTGTCATGTACGTAGGGAATAACGACATTCAGGTTGATCGTCTGACTGAGTATCAGAGGTAGAGAGTACAGGATCAGGAGGATTGTCAGAGTCTGTCACATTAGTCTGGGTTGGAACATCATTATCATCACATACTAACTTCATATGATCTAAATGCGATTCTTTATACTGACCAGTACTAATTTCTCTAACCTTATACTTATTACCAGTGATATGTTCAACTACTCGATAAGGACCAACAAACTTTTGATCAAGCTTAGGCATTGCAGACGTTTTGTTAAAGTTAGTCAGCATAACTCTCGAACCTACTTTGATTTTGGATGACTTTGCTCGAGTGTTTGCGTCTCTTGTAAATTCTGCTGTTGATTTATGAAGTGTTTCACGGATTCTTCTGAAAACACTTTGAGCTAAGCTGGTACGAGTTGCTATGAAATCATCAGGGTTGTAATTTGGTTTCGAATTAGAATATAACAACTCATAAGGCAAACTTTTATCTACACCATACAATGCATAATGTGGAGTGTCACCTATAGAAACATTGTAAGCAGAATTTATAGAACACTGCACATCAGGTATAACTTCATCCCAAGTTTCACTATTGGGATTGATAGTGGCTCTCAAGACATCAAGTACTTTCTTATTGGTTCGTTCCACTAACCCATTGCTGGCAGGATGATGAGGAACAATGGTGGATTTAGAGATCTTGTACAAGGTACACAAATTTTCAAGAATCTCATTACAGAATTCACCTCCATTATCTGCCACCAATTTGTCATGTGGGTTTTCGATAACGTGGATGGGGTAAGAATACTCACGTAGGCTGGTAGTACGTATAATATAACGGAAAGTATGGGAAAGCACCATCAGCCGACCTGCCTCTCTCTGCTCTCTATCTTAGACTGACTCACAAGTGCCTACAGGGTGAGGGGTGTTTGAAATCCTGCTATGGTCAGCAGCAATATGAATAACAGTCAGTGATTCACACAGATCGGTTGGTAGTGAGTCATCTACTGGTACACTGGTTACTGGTAACTGGTTACTAGGAACTGGTACTACTACTGAGAGAAACAGTCAATAAAACCATAAAAACCATTTGAGGAAACACCACAAATTCATTATTTCAAACCATAAACACAGTGCACGCTCACCACACAGACCCATATCCCACCAAAGCATACGTAGGCCAAAATTTAACGCTCACAGCTTATTTAAGTGAGCTGAGCTCATGATGTAGAACTACACAAAGAACACTGGCCTCAATGACATACAGGAGAGCCCCACTTTACAATGCTTCGCTTTACAGCGTTTTGCTAATGCAGCAATTTTTAATTATACCCATTATTCATTTATTCAGGCTTCCTACAATAAATATATTCACCACTCACTATAAGCTAAGGACAAAAATATTTTAAGGTAAGTAATGCATATACTTACCTTTTAGACCTAGCTCTATTGCTCACTTAATATATGATAGTGTAAACATATTATCAGGCTTTTATATGTATTTTTTTTAACGTGTCGGCCGTTTCCCACTGAGGAAGGGTGATCCAAAAATAAAGAAAACCTCCAAAAAGAAAGAAAAAACTTTCATCATTCAACACTTTCACCATCATTCATATATAATCACTGTCTTTGCAGAGGCGCTTAGATACAACAATTTAGATGTCACTCCAAACAGCAATATCCCAAACCCCTCCTTTAAAGCGCAGGCATTGTACTTCCCACCTCCAGGACTCAAGTCCGGCTAACTCGTTTCCCTTAATCCTTTCACAAAATATTACCCTGCTCACACTCCAACAGCATAAGACAGTGAAAAAAAGCTACGTTTCAGTTTCAGTGATTTTCACTTTACAGCAGCAGCCTGAAACCTAACCTGCTGTATAAGTGGGGGTTTAACCTGCTGTATAAGTGGGGTTTAACCTGCTGTATAAGTGGGGGTTTAACCTGCTGTATAAGTGAGGGCCCTCCCGTAATACTACACGACAATCACTGAAAGGGTTAATATAAAGTACTACTACTACTATGTATCTTCTTATAAACTAACCTGGTGCTCATTCTCAAAGTGACTCGAGGAACCTTCTTGAGTGTTAGGTAATCTTCCTCTTCCTCTTACATTAGCACCTCTTCCTCTAGCACCTCTTCCTCTAGTGCCTCTTCCTCTAGTATCTCGTCCTCTGATACCTCTGCCTCTACCACCTCTTCCTCTAGTACCTCTGCCTCCACCACCTCTTCCTCTAGTACCTCTGCCTCCACGTGCCATCAATGTTCCTCTTCCTCTTCCACGGGGTGTTGATTCGCCTCTTCCTCCTCTGTTCTGACCCCGCAGTGAGCCTGTATTAACTGAATATATTAATCCTTTGTAACAGAAGAACCAATAACAAATAATTTTGATGCCAAGATCTATTGCCAATTAATGATCCTTTAGGTTTAGACATCATTACAACTAGAGGTCTGCTCTTGTGCAATTATGTGAATGAGATGAAGAGAAAGGACTGTCACAAATATTTGTAATGCCCCATTCTTTTTCAGAGTAGTCTTTGACAAAGTTGGCTATATAAAGTCTTCCCAGAAGAAATAAAAAATAAAACAAACTCAACAAATTATAATGGAACATCATTACAGTACTCTCATAAAAACTACTTGAATTTGGATAACTTTTTCTTTTAATATGGCTATTATCTCCAAATGTGGTTTCAAAAAACATTTCCTTCCTTAACCCAGCCCTCTACCCATCTACATTAGTCTGCATCTTGAAACTGTTTGATTACAAAAGAAAAATAATTTTATTTACTTGTACCTAATGCCTACACCGCTTTCATGGAGAATGCTTTGCTATGGAAGAGCTCGACTGAAGGACTAAACCTGATTACCTCACAGTTCACAAGTGCTGCATAACCTCTACATGGAAGTCTGAGTGTGAGAGCATGGTTTGTGTTTCGTGATTAACTGAAGGGTTATAAGAGTCTCCACCACTCTTTACACTGGTTGACCCATATGGATTTAGCAATTTATTAAAATATATTGTATGACCTGTATGAATTTAGCCCTTCCCCAAAACAAAAATAATAATAATGCCAACACCTAAAGAAAGGTGACATTAAAATTAATTCTGTGACCTAATAAAATTATAGTATCCACATACAGTGGAACCTTGGTACTCGAACAGCTCCCTACTCGAACAATTCGGTATTTGAACACTCTGTTCGGTAAAAAAATTGCTCGGTAGTCGACCGTTTGCTCAGCACTCAACCAAACAAACACGACCTGCCAGAACTTCGCTGTAAACTATTTCGTGTTTCTGCCCATTTTTTTTTTTTATATTACGTATTTGTATAAATAAGTCACCATGTGGCCTAAGAAGACTAGAGATAACAGCCAACAAAAAAGAAAACTAGTTGGGAAAAATTTGTTCGGTACTCAAACAGATTGGCACTCGAACAGCCTTCTGGAATGAATTAAGTTTAAGTACCAAGGTTCCACTGTATATAAATAATAACATGCTTCAATTCACTGACACCATATTCACCAATAATCACCTACTTCATTTACTGCCTTACTGAAGAGACTGAGACTGAGTTGTGATCTGGGAGGAAGGGGGGGAGATATTGAAAGGAGAAAAGTTGCATCTGAGTTCTGAAGTTGAGGGTAGTCTTGGGAGGAAAACAGTAGCTGGGAGGAACTTGCAGGTTAATGGCAGTGCAAAGAATATTCCTTGTGTGTTTTCATGCTAAGGCAGTTTGTGGTAGGGATATGTCCTGAGTTAAATGATGAAAGAAGCAAGAAAGACAAATCTTATCCTAGAGTAACAGGACCAAACCAAGTGACTAATATAATAACAAATGCAGTATAATAAATTAACCACCAAATCTAAAACAAAATGAAAAACAATAAATGAACAAATTTATAACAATTATATACCATCATACAAAATAAATAACACAAATATATTGTACTGAATAATGTGTCTAAACAAGCAACATGAAGAGACAATACAAAGGAAGTACCACTCAATGGCAATTACTAATGTGACAAAATAATACAGAAAGGAGGTGATTTAGCAATACTTGTAAAAAATGCCCTACAATACTGTATAAAGTAACACTACAGTAATGCATAAGTTAGAGATTTAAAACCAAAACACAAATAAAGAATATTAAAATTCTAGTGGTAAAAATCCAAAACAAAAGTGACAACTGATAATTCTCAATGCAGAAGCCTACTAATGAACATCACATGAGAGACAGAAGAATTTGACAGAATAAATGAGAGACTGCAAAATATTCTATGAGCACCATTAATGAGAAACAACCATGAAAAGGAAAAAAAAAAAAACATGGAAATATGAGGCCACATGAAGAATATAGACTGTCATACAACATTAAAAAAAAGAGACAAATAGAGGGATCTAAGAATAATCATGCACAAAAGATTATAACCAGAAAATAAAAAAAAATAAATCATAAGAAACTCATAGGCATCACTGGCAATTTAAAATACTATGGTTTCCAGATATATAGGTAGAACAAGGCTAAAAAAATAATCAAATCAACATATTTTAAGCCAGGCCTCACCAACCCACAGCCTACACGCAACCCTCTAACCCTATTAAAAAATAAATATTACTTTTCTTTTTTGGCCTCTTTAGTACTATATTGAAATAACATGAGTTGAAGCATTCCTTAAATTATAGGAGGACCTCACTCTACAGCGCTTCACTAATGCAGCAGTTTTCAATTATACTCATTTTTCATTTATTCAGACTTTCTACGATAAATATATTCACCACTCAATATAAGCTAAGGATGAAAATATGTATGTACTGTAAACATAAGCATTTTTTATGCCTAGCTCTACTGGTCACTTAATATGTGATAGTGTAAACATGTTATCAGGCTTTTATATGACAATTCCAGTTGCCTGGAACCTAACCTGCTATATAAGCAGGGTCCTCCTGTACAAAAGAATCTTACAACATATATCTTAATTATTTTTATAACTTTCTGTCAATACCTTGTACTAGCTTTATTAGAAAAATGTATGTAGTCTTAGCTCTAGTTTAAATTTGCCTGAAACACTGTGCATAATATGGACTTTCAAATTACTGTGCATTTTTGTATAATGATTCGAGATAAAAATAATAATTATGATTATTATTATTATTATTAGTAGTAATGCAAGTATTATTTAAAAAAAAAATTATTTAATGTTATGCCAGTCTGGTGTGCAACTACAGTGGAACTCCATTTTTCGTACGGTCCAAATATCGTATAGTTCGGATTCTGAACACTTTTTGGGGTGAAGTTTTGGTCTGGATTTCATACCTAGATCCGGAAATCATACGTATCAGATGCATCCATCCGCCTGGGATGCCGCCACTCTCATGAGTGTGTGTGTCTCAGTCTGGCTCTGTCACTGTTGAGTGAGCATTCATCCGAAACATTTGGCAATTTTTGTGCTTATTGATTGCGACTGCAAAATAAGCCACCTTGGGCCCAAAGAAAGTTCCTAGTGCCAGCCCTTAGGTAAAGAAGGTGAGAAACACGATAGAATTCAAGAAAGAGATTGCAGAAAAATACAAATGTGACGTACACTTAGCCGAGCTTGCCAGGATGTATGGGAAATCAAAATCAGCAATCTGTTCCATCCTGGCAAAGAAAGTAGAAATCAAGGAAGCTAAAGTTGTGAAAGGGTAAATATGCTAACGAAACAGAGATCACAAACAATCGAAGATGTGGAGAAGTTGTTGTTGGTGTGGATCAACGAAAAACAGTTAGTGGGAGATAGTGGTGTGGAGTCAATCATTTGAAAAAAGGCAAGGCAGTTGCATGCGGATCTCATAAAGAAAATGCCTGGAACGAGTGCTGCTGTTTGTGAATTTAAGGCCAGCAGAGGTTGGTTCAACAGATTCAGGAAGCATAGTGGTGCACACAGTGTTGTAAGGCATGGTGGGGCTGTAAGTTCAGACAAATGTGCAATCGAAGAATTTGTTGATGAATTCAAGAAGTACGTAGAGGCTGAAGGATTTGTCCCCCAACAAGTGTTCATTTGTGACAAAACAGGATTCTTGTGGAAGAAAATGCCAAAGAGGACCTCTCCCCTCCTCGCCTTCTACAATATACCAACAAGAGTCTTCGATAAAGGTATGTAATGTTCATTTATCAAAAAAATTTGTTATTTATATTTATTTCTCATTATTTTTTGTATGTAAAACTTTCTGTTAATATTTTTGGGTGTCTGGAACAGATTAATTGTATTTATATTATCTCTCATGGGAAATATTACTTCGGTTTTCTGGAATGGATTAACCCTTTCAGGGTTGGTGCTGTACTAGTACAGCTTGCACGCCCGGGTTGGTGCCGTACTAGTATGCATAAATTCTAGTGCCTTCAAATGTAGCGAGAGAAAGCTGGTGGGCCTATGAAAGAATGGGTCTATGTGGTCAGTGTGCTCAGTATAAAAAAAAATCCTGCAGCACACAGTGCATAATAAGAAAAACAAAACTCTGACTGTGTTTTTAGTCGAAAACAGTGACTTTGCAGTGTATTTTCATATGCTATTTATGGTTGTATTCTAGTTTTCCTGGTCCATTTTATAGAATGGAAGACATATTACAGAAATTGAGATGATTTTTTATTAGTTTCACAATGAAAAGTACCTTGAAATTGAGCTCAACGTAGCAGAAATGTTTGATTTTTGCCAAAGTTCAAAAGTAAATAAATCAAGCAATGCACCCAATACATGTCAAACTGTGAGTCTAATATTCTTTCACAAGTGCGCTGATATTATTTATACCATTTCTACACTAATGCAGTAGTCTGCATAACAGTAAATCTTCTATTTTTTGTGAGAGTAACAGAGGCCTGGGGATGTGACTAATGAACAGAGGAAATGTTATTTTAGTGCCAGGAATGTCTGTCTTGTTTATTCTGGACCTTATTTGGAAATTGGCATCTTTTTAAATTTGTGTGAAATTGGCAAAATTGACAATTTCGGACCACTTTATTGGATAGTTGAAATCGATAAATGGGTGGTTTCTTGTACTCATTCGACAGAGAAAATGGAGTTCTAGTGAACAGTTATGATTTTTGTCGACTAGTACATTGGAATTGCCCGAAAATGGGGCTCAAAGTGGGCGAAATCACTGATGAGTAAACATCGTTGAGACCGCTAACTTCGCTAGAGCATAAGTCCGTAAGTTTCCATCAAATTTCATACTTTTGGTGTCATTATGATCGGGAAAAGATTCTCTATCATTTCACAAGAAAAAATAATTATTATTTTTCGAAAAATTTCCGACCCTGAGAACAAGTTTAGGAGAGGGCCTGCCGACCCTGAAAGGGTTAAGTACGAAATCCGGGGTTCCACTGTATAGCCAAGGATCAAATCTATAATTCTTAACCTGCTTTTCAAGAAAGATATTAGGGGGGCTCTTACCATGGAATTCACTTGTTACAAAAATAATACATTCTATAGAGATATATTTACATGACCATCCAACTTATGACCAAGCTTGGTTCTGATCAACCGGTCGTAAGTCAAAATGAATGTAAGTCAAACCTTACTACTTTTGTAATATTATTTTATTGTTTTATTTTGGTATTTCATTTTTTACTTAACTTTTTATGCTGTTAGTACTGTTTTATACTGTAAGGTTTAGGATAAACACTGTGCACAACACAAACAGCTGTTTATTTCCCAGAAATTTGGCAGTAAAAACATGGTCATAAGTCGAGTGGTCGTGTGTCGAGCAGGTTGTAAGTCTAATTCTTGTAAAGTCTAATTCTTGTGGACAAAACACGAGCACCTCTTCCTCGTCCTCTGATAATGCCACTGCGCCCACCACCTCCACCACCACCTCTTGTGAATCCTGCATCTCTTCCTGCTGCTCCCCTACCTCGACTCCTTCCTCCTCTTATGCCTTTTCCACCCCGCTCTCTGCTTTTCATTTTGATGATGTCATCTGCAAAGTAATTTAAGATTTACATTTTTTTTTCTGAAATTATATTTTAGCTAGAATATATACTGGAGAATAAATAAATACATACATACATTTTTTGTGGCATTTATGGATTTGGAAAAGGTGTATGACAGGGTGGATAGGGCGGGCAATGTGGCAGATGTTGCAATTGTATAGTATAGGAGGTAGGTTACTGAAAGCAGTGAAGAGCTTTTACGAGGATAGTGGGGCTCAGGTTAGAGTATGTAGGAAAGAAGGGGATTATTTCCCAGTAAAAGTAGGCCTTAAACAAGGATGTGTGATGTCACTGTGGTTGTTCAATATATTTATAAATGGGGTTGTAAGAAGTGAATGCGAGGGTCTTGGCAAGAGGTGTGGAATTAAAAGATAAAGAATCAAACACTAAGTGGGAGTTGTCACAGTTGCTTTTTGCTGATGACACTGTGCTCTTGGGAGATGCTGAAGAGAAGTTGCAGAGGTTGGTGGATGAATTTGGTAGGGTATGTAAAAGAAGAAAATTAAAAGTGAATATAGGAAACAGTAGGGTTGTGAGGATATCAAAAAGATTAGGTGACGAAAGATTGGATATCAGATTGGAGGGAGAGAGTATGGAGGAGGTGAATGTATTCAGATATTTGTGAGTGGACGTGTCAGCAGATGGGTCTATGAAAGATGAGGTGAATCATAGAATTGATGAGGGGGAAAAGGGTGAGCAGTGCACTTAGGAGTCTGTGGAGACAAAGAACTTCATCCTTGGAAGCCAAAAGGGGAATCTATGACAGTATAATTTTACCAATGTTCTTATACGGGTGTGAAGCATGGGGTGATGAATGTTGCAACGAGGAGAAGGCTGGAGGCAGTGGAGATGTCATGTCTGAGGGCTACGTATGGTGTGAATATAATGCACAGAATTCATAGTTTGGAAGTTAGGAGGAGGTGCGGGATTGCCAAAACTGTTGTCCAGAGGGCTGAGGAAGGGTTGTTAAGATGGTTCGAACATATAGAGAGAATGGAACGAAACAGAATGACTTCAAGAGTGTATAAATCTGTAATGGAGGGAAGGCAGGGTAGGGGTCGGCCTAGGAAAGGTTTGAGGGAGGGGGTAAAAGAGGTTTTGTGTGTGAGAGGCTTGGACTTCCAGCAAGCATGCGTGAGTGTATTTGATAGGAGTGAATAGAGACAAATGGTTTTTAATACTTGACATGGTGTTGGAGTGTGAGTAAAGTAACATTTATGAAGGGATTCAGGGAAACCGGCAGGCCGGACTTGAGTCCTGGAGATGGGAAGTACAGTGTCTGCACTCTGAAGGAGGGGTGTTCATGTTGCAGTTTTATAAACTGTAGTGTAAAGCATCCCTCTGGCAAGACAGTGATGGAGTGAATGATGATGAAAGTTTTTCTTTTTCGGGCCACCCTGCTTTGGTGGGAATCGGCCGATGTGTTAGTAAATAATAAATAACTTTTTAACAAGCTGGTCATCTCCCACCAAGGCAGGGGAACCCAAAAAAGAAACATTTTTCATCATTCACCAGGCCCGATGACCTGGTGGCTAAAGCTCCCACTTCACACACTGAGGGCCTGGGTTCGATTCCCGGCGGGAGGAAACATTCCGACACGTTTTCTTACACCTGTTGTCCTGTTCACCTAGAAGCAAATAGGTACCTGGGTGTTAGTTGACTGGTGTGGGTCGCATCCTGGGGGACAAGATTGAGGACCCCAATGGAAATAAGTTAGACAGTCCTCGATGACACACCAACTTTCTTGAGTTATGCTGGGTGGCTAACCCTCCGGGGTTAAAAATCCGAACAAAATCTGTCTCTCTTACTGTCTTGCCATAGGTGTGCTGATACAACAGATATACATACATACATACATTTATTTATTCATTCTCCTTATCTACATAAAAATATAAAAATATCTTTTATTTTATTTAACATAATGCACAAAATAAAGTTATCTCCATTGCAAAACCCACTTTACATTTTACAAAGTGTAAAATGTAAAGTGGGTTTTGCAATTATCACCAAACTCCAGCAAGCAGCTAAACTTGATACTGACCTCAAACTTTTTTTGGCTGCCATATAATTTTTTAGTCTGCCATTCCTTGTATTAAAAATGTAGAAAGACCCCCAGAAGTAAATACTGTACTAGCCCAAATTTGGGCAGTAAAATAACTAAAATTTCAAAACTGTCTTACTCATTAAATGCAGTAGGAAAGAAGAACAGCCTAACTGATCAGATACTCGGCAACAAACAGCTGATGGAGAAATGTATCTACTTCACTTTTTGTGCTTAACAACCCACACAGGTTTTGTGCTTTACATGAGATATAATACAGGTTGGCCATCACTAACCCAGCAATCAGTTATCAGGTTCCATCAGTAATCCAGCACTAATTTCAGCCAGCATAATTTCAAATTTCATCATTATACTGACTCAAATTTCATCATTATACTGACTCAAATTTCATCATTATACTAAAAAATTGTGCAGATGGTTGTAGATCCACAGCAGCAAGCCAGTGGAGGAAAAAGCAGTGAAGAAAATGAGAAGATGTAGCAGAAAGAGTCTCTACTGATAAGTTAATTAAGTAAATTCTAACCTAACCACTCTGTAATCCAGCAAACTCACTAATCCAGAACACTACAGGTCCCAATGATGCCGGATTAATGATGGCCGACTTGTACTAACTAAACACAGCTTTTCTTTGTTTACTTACACTATGATAACAGTTCAATTATGAAAGCCTTAGGGGGGTTTGGCCCGTAAATATTCAACTTTTTATTTGTCAACCAATTACGTTCATTTTTGGTGTACTATTAGAAGCTTATATCAAACATGCTGTGCTGAAGTTTCAAAAATATCGGTGAAAAAGGAAATGAAATATGCAAAATTTATGAACAATTACATTTGGCAGCGAACCTGTACTCAGTGGTACTTGGAAAAGTGGTTTTGACACTTGCTTCTGATAGAACACTTCTAATTCCATCAAAGTAAAGGTACCAATTCTAAAATAAACCTTATCTTCATGCTAAAAAAAAATAAAGTTTATAACTTTTTTTGACATTTTGGAAGATGTTGGTCTTGTTGCCCACACAAATCTGAAAATATTTGGGATACTTCCAAAAGGTACCTTACAACTTGTAAAGCAATCATTCTATGTTTATTGTGAAAATCAAGTCAATTCATTCATAAATAAGGATGGAATCCCCCTAAATAGGTAAATAACTTACTTTCGAGATAGTATAGGCCGAAGCGCGCGGCACCTCAGGTGCCCGGGAAATTTTTTCCCCAAAAAATTCGCTTTGTTTTACACTTTTTCCGTAACCTACGAGTGTTTATTACAGTTAACCATTGTAAATCTACGTTTTCTCTTTCTGGTGTACCCTTTATGTTTCTATGCTATTATTATATTGCATTATGCCATATTAGATCAATTGTGATAGGTAAATAAGCCTTATAATTGATATTAGCGTGGGTATGGAATATTTTGTTGACTGATGGTGTCGGCCATTTTGGGCACTATTCCCAGGGGAGGTTCCCAATTGGTTCCTTGACCATATTAGCTCTGCCCACTCTGCCATGATCTCAGATGGTGAATCTGTATTATATTAGACATAAAGATATAAGAAAACAATAAAAATAACACAGGGGAAAAAAAAAAAGCCACGTCAGCGCTTGTTACACAAGGCGCTGTCACCATGCATGTTATAAATGACTGTAATTCCTTTTAGAAACATCGCATAAGAATGATAATTATACCAGAGTGTAGCCAGAAAGTTCAGCTATTTTTTTGGTAACAATAACTCAATTTTCGTATTTTTTTTATTTTTTTTTTTTTTACTCCGCGCGGCGAGTGTGAATCGTCCCTTAGTTTGACTTGCTTTGAAATGGAAAATTAACACCTGATACATTGCTTTAACCCTTTGAGGGTCGACAGGCCCTCTCAGAAACTCGTTCTCAGGGTCGGCCAAATTTAAAAAAAAAAAAATTATTTTTTCTTATGGAAAGATAGAGAATCTTTTCCCGATCATAATGACACCAAAATTATGAGATTTGATGGAAAACTTACGGAATTATGCTCTCGCGAAGTAAGCGGTCTCGGCGATGTTTATGCATCGGCGATTTTGCCCACTTTGAGCCCCATTTTCGGCCAATTCCACTGTACTAGTCGACAAAAAACATGAATATTTCGCTAGAAATACATTTTTTCTATTGAATGAGTGCAAGAAACCACCCATTTACCATTTTCAACTATCCAGTACAGTGGTCAGAATTTAGCAATTTTGCCAATTTCACACAAATTTCAAAAAATGCCAATTTCCGAATAGGGTCCAGAACAAACAAGAAATACATTCCTGGCAATAAAATGACATTTCCTCTGTTCATTAGTCACGTCTCAAGGCCCCTCTTACATTCTTTTGCTTTCCACTTTGAATTTTTATTCTCACGAAAAATAGAAGATTTACTGTTATGCAGATTACTGCATTAGTGTAAAAAATGGTATAAATCATATTGGCGCACTTGCAAAAGAATGTTAGACTCACCAGTTGACGTGTATTGGACGCTTGGCATGATTTGTTTACTTTTGAACTTTGGTAAAAATCGAAAATTTCCGCTACTTTGAGCTCAATTTCAAGGTACTTTTCATTGTAAAACCAGTCAAAATCATCTCAATTTCTGTGATATGCCTTCCATTCTATAAAATGAGACCAAGAAAACTAGAATACAACAATAAATACCATACGAAAATACAGTGCAAAGTTGCTGTTTTATGCCAAAAAAACGGTCAAAGTTTTTTTTTTCTCATTATGCACTGTGTGCTGCAGGATTTTTTTTATACCATGCACACTGACCACATAGACCCATTCTTTCATAAGGAGGCCTACCAGCCTTTTCCCGAGAGATTTGACGGCGCTAGAATTTATGCGTACTAGTACGTCAAAAACCCCTGCGCGTAAGACGTACTAGTACGGCCAAAACCCTCAAAGGGTTAATGA